ATCGTTGTCGTTATTGTAAATTTTTGTCAATTTTATAACATTCGCTTCTCCGTGTCGTGGGAAGGATCTTTCCCCCGGAACATCCATTTTTTCTTTAGCAGCGCAAATGCGCATGCGCTATCAAGCCGTAGATCAAGATGGCGTGACGATGCTAGGAAGGAGCGACACTGCCGACAGTGTTGTTTTCAAATTATAAGCATTTTTATAGACGTGAATATCGAGTAGATCTTTGAGGATCTACGCAATATATAAGTTGATGTTATGACTTATGCAGTACGGGCATTCAATTAAGTACCGATATTGTTTTGACGGTATATTCAATTTCAATATACAAAGCTAGGAAGCAGCGAGACAGTGTTGTTTTGTCTTTTGAAATGTATGAACATTTCAGGCATGAATATTGAGAAAATCTTTGAGATTCTACGTAACATATAAATTGATGTTTCGCATTACGGGCATTCAATTATTAAGTGCCGATATTAGTTTGACGGTATATATTCATTATACAGAGCTAGGAAGCAACGAGACGGTGTGGAAAATTATATTATAAGACATAAATATTGAGAAAATCTTTGTTTGCGTGCCTAGCACAACGGTGCAAACTCGTGTTCAGTGCAATTACGAGAACTCTACCAAATCTTACGAGAATCTATCTGTATCAAAGCTTGTCAAAACTGCTATAAACACTGCTATAACTGTGAAACTATTGAAATCCAAAGTGACAATATTGAATACATGCGAAAAGCTGAAAATGACTCATGAAGCAACAACGTGACCTTCGAAGTAAGTCGAAGGTCAATGTCTCAATGAGACTTGTTATTGTGAACACGTCACAATTAGGTTAAAATTCGGAAGCGTATCCACGGAACGGATATGGGGATAAAATGCGGAACGGCTATGGATAAAATGCGTCCATTTTAATGACTTTTTTTCGCCTCTTATTTACGTTTCTGTGTTTTAGATTTATGGGTTTTTTTTTGTAATGGAATACAACGTCGTAGTGCTTATTATTCATAACATGTCTTATACAGCTATTTAAATTAAAGTTGTCACTGACACAATAATTTCAATTTGAAACTCTACAACATTATAACAGAAATTATGCCTCGTCACTAATATTATATGGGGAAATAAATAATATTACATAGCTCTCGTCATTCTTTAATCGCAAAGTATTAGATTTGAGCCAGATCTTAGCATTTTTACTGTTGTAACAGTTCGCGCGCTACTACGTCATACCGACATGTGATTAAAGCTATATACCGCGCTTGAAAAGCTATTCAATTAATAAGCATGTCTTATAGCGTTCGTCTTTGAAACTCTGCACTATCCTTGGATCCCTATAGTTCTGGTTATTTACTAATTTTCGAATGTGGGATTTGTAAGCGTTAGGCCCCAAACTAAATTACCGTATATAAGATATGGATAGACCAATGCGTAATAGATTAGTTAGAAAAAATCTATATGATCGAACCATGATAAAAATTCATCTATAACAATCCCTAATAGTATACATAAAAGTATTACTCGACTGTGATTGGTTGATTTCAGTGCAGTTAAACCCAAACAGCAGTGCAAAAATCTGTAATCACAGTGCAATTTTCTGTAATCACAGTGCAATTTTCTGTAATCACGGTGCAATTTTCTGTAATCACAGTGCAATTTTCTGTTATCACTATGAACCAATCAAAATTGATCTAACTTTTGGCGGCAAAATGTTCTTTTTTTTTCAAAACAAACATGGCCGCATTTAGCGGTGGGGAAAGATTCCCGCACTTGGAAGTGAGTTCAATTGAAGAACTGCGAAATAATGCAAAAAATACAAATACCAAGAGAAGCACAATCGTTTGGCTTGGCGTTTTTAAATCCTGGGCAAAGGAGCGAGGTTTTTCTGAGGCCACTGAAACTTACGATGCGTTCGACTTAGACAAAATATTGGAGAAATTTTACTGTGAAGTCAGGAACAAGGATGGCGGTGAATACGAACCAGACAGTCTCCGCGTTATGATAACAGCCTTGGACCGTTATTTGAAAGACTGTGGTTATCAGAAGTCCATAATACGAGTCCGGAAATTTTGCAAATCAAAAGAAGTTCTCGAGGAAAAGGCAAAGCGTCTACGCGAAGAAGGGAAAGGCAAGAGACCAAACAAAGCTCGAAGTTTAACCCAAGAGGAGGAAGAACTCCTGGGGACCAACGGAAATCTTTGCAATAAAACAGCCGAGAGTTTAATCAATACTATTATGTGGTGGTTACTGACACAATATTTTGGTCTTCGTGGACGACAGGAGCATCACGGCATGACGACTCGAGTACGTTGAATACATCGAACGTCCCACCAAAACAAGAAATGGAAGCTTGTCGAAAAAGTCGAGAGATTTCCTGCCCAAGATGTATGCTACAGGTGATGAAAGATGTCCTGTTGCTCTGTTCAATGAGTACTTGTCTCGGCGACCAGCAGCACTCCAAAATTCCGGCCCGTTTTACCTTTCGTTAAAGTACAAGTCCAACAACAACACTTGGTACAAAGCTCAACCCATGGGCACAAATCGCATCAACGAAATGATGGAAAGGATTGTCCAGGGAACACAACTTGAGCATCAACAACAAAAGAAATTGACAAACCACAGTGCTCGTAAGACGGTAGTCAACAAATTGAAAAAGAACAACGTTGAGCGTTCCTCGATCGTGAAAGTAACTGGTCACCGCAACTTGCAATCGCTCGACGATTATGATGGAGACGAACAAGAACAGCAGCAAATGTCTTCCAGGATATCATGGAGAAATAGTCCACAACGATGGGGCATGCACTTCAAGCCTGGCAAAAGTGGCAATGCAACAACAGCAAGCCTTTCTTGCTGATTTCCAACGGCAAGGTCAACCAAACGTGAGCAGCAGTAATCAACTGAGTCAAGCAACGGCGAGACAAGAAAGTCGACAGAAAATGCTAAACAACAACAATTTCAACAACTGCCAAGTAACTTTCTCAGTTGGTTCAACGGTGACTTCGCCAATTCTGCCTCAGTATACTTCGAACTCGAAGCGACGTCGCGCTTACATGATTGAAAGCGACCCTGATTAACTGTTTTGTTTTATATACTGTTATATATATGTGCTTTTGTTTGATATACTGTTATACATAGTTATGCGCTTAAAAATTACCCGGACACAAACAAGTAAGTGCTTTGTACCAACGAAGTGTCTTGTTTTATTTTGTTTTGTTTTGTTTTGCCTAGTTTATGCATTTTGATTTTTTACGTGTAGCTAATATATTTGTTCTTTGTTTCTTAATAAATGTCAAGTTTAAATTTGATTGTCTCGAATACTTTTATGTACATTATTAATAAGTAATAGCATGGTTTCTCGTGTAATTTGGATAAACATGCACTCGTGAGTTTTTCAAAGACCTCAAATAGCACTCGTCCTTCGGACTCGTGCTATTTTGAGGTCTTTGAAAAACTCACTCGTGCATGTTATATCCAAATTGCACGAGAAACCATGCTATTACCTATACTAATATCACCGTATTCACTCTGATTTGATTCACATTTTTGTTTAAGAAATGTATGTTATTATAAGTTTTCATCTGAATTATCTAGTTGTAATTTCACACCAAATTACGGGGCCCATGTTCCACAGCATCGCCCTATAGCTCATGCATGCAGTAGGCTAACTCCTAGTAATTTTCTATTTTTTTCTTAAAAAGAGAACTTGCAATAACAAACCACCTGATTGCATTGGATGTAGCCTGTATTTCGTGAAACACACTGTACATGAAGCCCAGATAAAAGGATCAAGTAGCTTGTGGAACTACAAAGAAATTCGCCTGATCTTGGACGTCGCTGTGTACTTGATGAAAAACAGATATTCTCCTGCTGACGTGACAGTGCTTTGCCCTTACCGTGGACAGGTAATGTATCTGTTTGAGCAGTTTAACAGGCGAAACGTTGTGCATCAGTTTAGGATATTTACAGCTCTATTATACTACTTGAATGTGTAGGTCATTCATACCATATGTCTAGTAAGTGTACAGTACATGTCGAAATTTCTGGAACTCACTCATCTTCAATCACGCCGTCAAAAATTCTAGCTGGCTATTTCATCTTCTCGTGGGAGTGCATGTATTTTAAACAAATAGTTACAAATTACAAGGTATGCATATTTTGAAATGTATTCATCACATTCACGTTTCCAGCAAAAGAAAACCTGTTCATTAATTTTGAGTAATAACAGGCATCAGTATAAATTTTGCAAATATTTCTGATTGGCTAGTTGACCAGTAGAGCTGACGCATTATTTACTAGCAGACTATAGTAAATAATGCTTTTCAAAAAGAATGATTCGGCAAATGTATGGTTTCAAAATCGACAAGATATTGAAAAAATCATCTCCAGAAAACGAAAAAAGCACAAAATGTTTTTTTAACTTGAAAGGTAGGATTCCTTTATTATTTTACTGTGTCAAACACATTCACGGACAATTTAAAACTTATATTTACTGGAAACTCCGAAATATTCACTTCAAACAAATAGCAAAAACTATCCCGACTGTTGGGAAACACCTTGCCGGGATATTCTTTTAATCTATTTTGTTTTGTATCCTATAGATTTTTCAATTTGTGCAATACTATTTCTTTTCATATGTCATGCATGTTTTTATGGTGCTGTATGGTGATCTGACCGCTGTATTGTGTTTTTGAAACTTGTAAAGTGAAAAGTGTTTAAATTAAAACTTTATTTCGAACGATATAGTTTTACATTTCATTGTACCAAATTTATCAGCCATTTCCTGAAAAAATTAATGCTACGCAGAAACTATTTTGCAATTCTAAGTCTGGTGAAAAAGTCAGTCCGTTATTGTGTTTATCTTCTAAACAGAAATCGAGAAAAACAACGTTGTTATAAAGCAATAAAGTCACACAAGAAACCATTTTGAAACGTCTACGTACAAGAAACGCTCCAACCCTATTAGACAGTAACCGTGAACAGGCCGAAAACAGTTTTATTTCTAAATTTTAATTGAACTAATATTTGGATATTTAAGTTTTATTCATTAAAAATTTATACTAAAATTTATTCATTTATTTATTTATTCATTTATTCATTTATTCATTTATTTATTTATTCATTTATTCATTTATTCATTTATTCATTTATTCATTTATTCATTTATTCATTTATTCATTTATTCATTTATTCATTTATTCATTTATTCATTTATTCATTTATTCATTTATTCATTTATTCATTTATTCATTTATTCGTTTATTCATTTATTCATTTATTCATTTATTCATTTATTCATTTATTCATTTATTCATTTATTCATTTATTCATTTATTCATTTATTCATTTATTCATTTATTCATTTATTCATTTATTCATTTATTCATTTATTCATTTATTCATTTATTCACCTCGAGTTCGTCTCGGTGAGCATTCACCGGTAATCACCTTCGCCTTCGGCGAATAATTGTTAAATAATATATATCAAGCTTCTTGCTTTGTCTTTTAGGCCTGTCTTATACGTCCAATTTTGATTGCGTCGAATGCAATTAAAACAATAGATTAAGACCAGCCTGGACTTAGGCCTTCTATTTTTATTTATCCCCGAGCCGGCGGCGCGAAGCGCCGTGCGAGGGTACTAATTCCCCCCGTCTAAAGTTCATCAATGAGCGCGGGCGTCGGTCACCAACAATGGGTGGTCATCCTCACTGATCTCAAAAATATGGCGGACTGTCATGAATAACGGACACTGATTGGTCCAATTTAAAGTTTGCATTATAACGACTGCATGACGACAGCGAAAT